GTGTGTGTGTGAGTGTGTGTGTGTGCGTGTGTGTGTGTGTGTATATGGGTGTGTGTGTGTGAGTGTGTGTGTGTGTGAGTGTGTGTGTGTGAGTGTGTGTGTGTGTGTATATGTGTGTGTGTGTGTGTGTGTGTGTGAGTGTGTGTGTGTGTGTGTGTGTGTGTGTGTATATGTGTGTGTGTGTGTGTGTGTGTGTGAGAGTGTGTGTGTGTGTGTGTGTGTGTGTATATGTGTATGAATGTGTGTGTAGCTTGGAGCTCTTGGTCCTGCTGCTGGCCTGTCTGGAGGCACTCGAACCTGGGATTCTCTGTTGCTGCTGCCTTTGATGTGGAGGTGACGGTGTCAGACTGGGGTGGACAAGGTCAAGAGTTACATGACACCAGGTTATAGTCCCACAGTTTTATTTGAAATCACAACCTTTCAGAGCGTAGCCCCTTCATTAGGTGAAGTGAGAAAGAAGGTCACAAAACACAGAATTTATAAGTAAAATATGAAAGGGTCACACAGCTGATGAGGATGTATTTAACAAACCTAAGATGCTTTTAAATCTTTAATCAGTTCGATGGCTTTAATTGATTGAAATGTTACATGTAAATCCTTGAATTTCTTTGTCGCTGCCCTGAGAGAAATAAAGGTTTTATTAGCGTAGCGAACAGGTGACAGTAAAGGTCAGAAAATGCATGTTAGTTGTGAGACCTTGTTTAGAATCTGTTTTTCTTTTGGTTTGGAGTTGTATATGTTTCAAATGAGCAGAGTGGGCTTTGCTCTGTGTTTCACCTGGTGGCTGTCCCTGTCCTGGGAGTGTTTGATGGGGGCAGTGTCGGGGTGGGGGTGGGTGGGTCTTGGTTTTTTCCTGTTTACACCTTTTGTTTTAAAAGAGTGGAGGGTTGCTTTTCAGACCGGAGGCCTGTGGCCAGCGGTGGACAGCAAGGTTCGGTTCTGGGCCCACTGGTTTTTGCCATTTCTATAAATGATTTGGGTGTGAATATAGGAGGTATGGTTAGTAAGTTTGAAGATGACACCAAAATTGGTGATGTAGTGGATAATGAAGAAGGTTACCTTAAAGTACAACGGGACTTTGATCAGATGGGCAAATGGTCCGAGGAGTGGCAGATATGGTTTAATTTAGATAAATGTGAGGTGCTGCATTTTGGTAAGGCAAATCAGAGCAGGACTTATACACTTAATCGTAAGGCCCTGGGCAGTGTTGCTGAACAAAGAGACCTTCAAATGCAGGTTCTTAGTCCCTTGAAGGCAGAGTCACAGGTAGAGAGGGTAGTGAAAGAGGCATTTAGTATGTTTGCGAGGGAGTTTAGCAGTTGCAAGACTTTGATACAGTTGTACAGTACATTTGTTGTGCCACTTTTTTGAACACTGCATTCAATTCTGGCCTTCCTGCTATAGGAAAGATGTGGGAAACTTGAAAGTGTTCAGAGAAGATTTACAAGGATGTTGCCAGGGTTGGAGGGTTTGAGCTACGGGGAGAGGCTGAATATTCTCTGAAGTGTGTGAGAATGAGGGGCGACCTTGTAGAGGTTTATAAAATCATGAGGGGTGTGGATTGGGTGAATAGTCAAGGTCTTTTCCCCAGGATAGGGGAGTCCAAAACTAGAGGTTGTAGGTTTAAGGTAAGAGAGGAAAGATTTAGAAGGGACTTAAGGGGCAACTTTTTTCACACAGAGGGTGATGTGTGTATGGAACGAGTTGCCAGAGGAAGTGGTGGAGGAAGGTACAATGACAACATTTAAGAGGCATCTGGTCAGGTACATGAATAGGAAGAGTTTACAGAGATATGGGCTAAATGCTGGTAAATGGGACTTGATTAATGTAGAATATCTGGTCGACATGGACGAGTTGGACCAAAGTGTCCATTTCCATATTGTCCACCTCTATCACTCTATTTGCATGAAATGTATATTGTGTAAAATGTGAATTGTATACAATTGTAAATTGTATAAAAACAGAAAGATTACAAAATACAGCCTTTGCACACCCAGATCTCAAAACTGATGCACTGTGTCACAAAATTTGACTCATCACAAATTATTTGATACATAAACAACAGCACACAAGATGTCTATCCATTCATGCTTCCTCCCCACTTTGAGTCAAGGAGATGTATGTAAATCTTTTGTGGACCTTTTCAAATTTAACAATATCTTTCCGAGAGAAGGGAGACCAGAATTGAACGCAGCATTCCAAAAGTGGCCAAACAATGTCCTGTATGGCTGCAACATGACCTCCCACCTCCCATACTCAATGCATTGACCAATAAAGGCAAGCCTGTCAAAAGCATTTTCCACTGCCCTGTCTACCTGTGACTCCACTTTCAAAGAAAAATGAACCTGCATCCCAAGGTCTCATTGTTGGGCAGCTCTCCCCAGGACCTTACCATTGAGTGTATGAATCCTGCCCTGATTTGCCTTTCCAAAATGCAGCACCTCACATTTATCTACATTAAACTCCACCTTCCAATCCTTGGCTCATCTAATCAAGGTCCTTTGTACTCTGAGATAAACCTTTTTGCTGGCCATTACACTACAAATTTTTCTTTCTAATCATTCCTCCGAATTTCATATCTAAAATCATTCATACAAATGACAAAAAGCAGGCACGTTGCTAGTCAGAAGCCGCCAGTCCAAAAAACGCAACCTTCCACCGCCACCCTCTGCCTCCAAGTTATATTATATTTTTGTCTGGAATGAAGCTAGGTCTGTTTGTTTAAAACCTGAATAGCATCATTCAACATGAGTATCATCTAACTCGTGTAAGAGAAACAGATATGTCTTTCACCCGTGATATGATGGCACTTGCCAGTAGTCCTCATATCAATCAATCTTACAAAGGAACAAGACACTGCAAACCCTATTAATGCAGTTCAGTTGTGAAGGCAGATTGGCAAGATAGGGGCTGTTCTCATAGCATTGGAGAAGGCTAAAATACAATCTGATGGATTTTTTCAGAAGTCATGTCGGGTCTTGACAGAGGAGACAGGGAGAAAATTCTTCTGTTTAAAAATGATCAGGAAGCGAAGGGCATAGATTTTTTTCCCCTTTATTCATTCACAGGATGAGGGTTGTTGCTGGCTAGGCCAGCATTTATAGCCCATTCCTAATTGCCCAGAGGGCAGTTAAGAGTCCACCACATTGTTGTGTGTTTGGAGTCACATGGAGGACAGATCGGGTATGGATGGCAGTTTCCTTCCCTAAAGACCACTAGTGAGCCAGATGTTTTTTTTTCCTGACAATGGATTCACCGTCATCATTAGATTGTTAATTCCAGATATTATTGATTGCAAATTCCACCATCTGCAGGATTCAACCTGGGTCCCCACAATTTAAATAAAAACCAAAAGAACTGCGGATGCTGTAAATCAGGAACAAAACCACAAGTTGCTGGAAAAGCCTCAGCAGGTCTGGCAGCATCTGTGAAGAAAAATATCAGAGTTAACGTTTCAGGTCCAGTGACCCTTCCTCAGAACCTTTCTCAGTATCCCAGGGTCACCGGACCTGAAACGTTAACTCTGATTTTCTCTTCACAGATGCTGCCAGTCCTGCGAAGCTTTTCGAGCATCTTGTGTTTTTGTCCCCAGAACATTATCTGTGTCTCTGGATAACAATCTAGCGATAGAACCATTTGGCCACCACCTCCCCCACTAGATTTCAATTGATTTACCAAGGAAGAGTAACTAAGGAGAGAATAAAGATCCACGAGGCCATCTATGTGTGGAACCATAAGAAATGGGAGAGATACTAAACAAATATTTTGCTTCAGTGTTTACTGTGGAGAAAGGCACGCATTCTAGGGAACTTGGGGAAATAATTATTGATGTCTTGATAACAGACCACATTACAGAAGAGGAGGTACTGAGGGTCTTGAAAAGCATAAAGTTAGATTTAAAAATAAGTGGAAGAATATTAAAGCCTATTATAAAGGACTTGATAGCATTGTATTTGGAAATAAACAGCAATCAAGTGGATTAGGCATGACATTATGAGGGGGAAATACAAAATGTATTTGTATTTGTTGTGGAGAGAACAAGAAAGGGAGCGTCACTGGACTTGAAATGTTAACTATGATTTTTCTTCACAGATGCTACCAGACCTGCTGAGCTTTTGCAGCAACTTTTGCGTTTGTTCCTGATTTACAGCATCCGCAGTTCTTTCAGTTTTGTTTTAAGAAAGGGATGAGAGTGGGAACCAGTGTATCCAATATATTTGGATTGCTAAACAGCATTTGATAAGTTATTGCATAGTTTGCCTACTTGATAAAAGAAGTGCCTATGGTATTGGGGGAACTGTGTTAGCATGGACAGAGGATTAGCTAATTCATTGGCTAACAGAAAGTCAATATGTGAGTTGCATTTATTTACACAGAGAGTGGTAGATGCCTGGAATGTGCTGCCAGTGGAGGTGGTAGAAGCAGATACAATGGCAAGATTTAAGAGGCAGACACATGAACATGCAGGGGTGGAGGGATTGGGACCATGTACAAGCAGATGGGATCTGTTTAGTATGGTATCATGGTTGGTACAGATATAATGGGCTGAAGGGCCTATTCCTGTGCTGTACTGCTCTAAGTTAAACTAATTGTTTTCTTTACAATTTGGAATTCTGGCAGCAGTTGCAGAAAGAGGAAAGGAGTGCCCAGTTCTAAAGAATGGTCAATGGACTGGAAACATTAATTCTGCTTTGTCTCACCAAAAGCTGCTGAGTTTCTCCAGTGCCTTCTGTTTTTATTTTGTTTGTTTTAGATCTCCAGAATCTACACTCTTTCCTTTTATTCAGAAATGCACAGTCTTGGCTGGCACTCAGAGCCAAGAGAGGTAGGAATGCAATCCAGTAATTCAGGAGGTTACGAATAGATTAAAGAAAATCATGCTCCAGTCCGGATTAGCAAGTGAACGGAAACTGAGAGCCAACATTCCAAACAGAGACTACTTTGCATTTTTACGGTTTTGAAAGATTCTTAAAATCAGTAAACACGGAGATTTCAGCACTTTCTTCAGCTCCTCTCTGAACTTCCTCTGTGTGGCAGCATATATAAAAGTGTTTGGGCAGGAGCTCAAAAATTTAAGCATTGTTCCGGTCTCCGTGGCAATGTACCCAGGGGAGGTTCGATCCCCCCTGTAGTAGGTGCTGTTTATGAGTCCAGTTGATGCAAAACTAACGAACGCTGTCAGCCACAGCAGTAAGAAACAGCCCGATACAGCGAACAGTAAAACAATGGATTTCTTCCGGTTCTCCATCTCCGGATCTCGATGGTTCTCACCGCGGGAACCTCGCAGACTGCTCCGGGCTCTGCTGCCGATCAGTACATGTTTGATTGTCATAGAATTAAACAAGGCGATTAATGTAAAGGGAAGCCAGACGACCCAGGCAGTGTGAAACCAGGCAAATGCAGCCCCTGGAGGCGAAGAGAAAAATGCTACACGTGTCTGACATCCCCACTGCACCTTGTTAATTACTCGCTGATGTTCATATGCAAATAGGGTGGGAATGTTCTTTACCATAATCATGACAAAGAGGCTTGTTATAACCAAAACCGCGGTTCTCTTGATGCAATACCTTGCCTGAATCTTTTGGCAGCAGATCATTACACATCTGTCAAATGTGAAGGAAACAGTGAACCAAACGGACAAATCGATGGTGACAGGCGCTAAATACAGCAGTAACTTACATATCGAAGTGTATGCCAGGAACGAAAGGGGGAAGTTATAACTGATAATATGGTACAACAGCACATAGTTGATCATGATCAGTAAATCTGCTACTGCCATGCCCAACATGTAGACGGAGATACAGTTTGAAAGGCCACAGTTTCGTCTGCAAAGAATCACAATTGTCAGCATGTTTGCTGGAAGGAAAAAGAGAGGAAAGCGATAATGTTTAAATGCATTGTTAAAAGAAAGGTCGCATCATTTGACATTATCTAATAAGCAGCAAGGAACAAATGATTTAGAAATGCTCACCAGGAACACCAATGGCCATGAGTATCGGGTAATAAATGGCCTTTATCAGCAGAATAATGGGTCGCTCCATCTTCTGGTGTTTAAGATATCTTTTTGGAGGTGAAGCATCCAGCAGGTGCACTATTGAGGCAATGAAAATAACCCTTTATTTATAGAAGCTTTTATTCTCCAGGCAGCTACTGATGAAATCATAATTACTGTTCGTAACAAACATTCAGCAAATAGAATCGGGTCAGCTGTTTTGTACACGTCAGGTTAAAGAAAAACTAGCTTGTTATTGGGCAATTGAAATGAATAACATTTTCAAGTTGCAAACTAAATCCCAACGTGCTCGTGCTGAAGCATTTTCCTTCAGGACTTCTGGCACAAAGGCATAGAGTTTCAACATAATGTTTATTTTTCATCAGTAAAATAGATTAATTTAGAACAGAAATTTAAACAAGGGATAAGTAAGAAATAGTATCCAGTACTCAGACCTGGTTCCAAAATAACAAACACTGATACCTGATTATCCATGGCTACAAACTATCCGTGAAGGAAGGGACACATAGAGAAAATTGGCTGGGTGTAACTGTTAACCGAACATTGATACAATGGAGAGAAACCTTAGCATACAGATTACGATGAAGGATCAGTTTGGTTAGAGATGAGAAAGAGGAAAGGGAAGAATTTATTAAGGAGATTGGGCTTTAGGTACTTGAGGATTAACTAAATGTAGTAGGAGATAGTTAGGAAGAAATAATGCTGGCTGTGTGAAAGATACTGTATAATTGAGGATGATTTTAATCTAGTTATACACTGGGTGAATCACACTGACCAAAGTAGTTAAAATGGGGCAGCATCAGTGGAGAAAGTACAGAGTTCAACTGCGTTTCTCTCTCTACAGATGGTGCCAGCCCAGCTGAGTTTCCACTTCAATTTCTGTTTTTGTTTGTTTCAGGTGTCGATCCTCTGCAGTTATTTGTTTCATCTTAAATTAGTTTAGATGGTGGTTGATAGTCTATTTTTATGGCCACTTTCACGGAGCAACGTGTTCCACAGCGAATCAGAGAGCGGGCAATGCTAGATCTGGTAACACCACAATGACACAGGATGATTCATGACCCCAAAGTGAAGGGTCCCCTAAGTAACATTGATCATAACATGATTAGGTATCATATTAGGTTTGAGGGGGAAATGAATGGATCTAAATCTTAAATGAGGCAATTGTGAGGATACCAGGACAAAGTGAATTTGGAAATCAGGTTGTGCACGAGGGAAGTAGAGACAGTGGTGGACAGTTGAGAACATATTTCAGAATACTCAGCAGAAATTTAATAAGAATGAAAGTTTGCAAAGGAATACTGCACAAAGTGAACTGAATTTTAAGTATTGGAAAAAAAAATGATTGGCAGACGAGCAAAACTGAAAAAGATTAGGAAGGCAGGAAGGATGGTTAGAATATTAAATAAAACACTAAATTATTTATGAAGTTGGGGAATCTAGATTAAGAGAAAAACAAAACAGCTAGAAATATAACAAGTGTTTCTGAAGGCATGAATGCACATAAAAGCAACATTGCAAATAATTGGTTTTCAAGGGAATGTATTTGGGGAATATATGTTGGAAAAGAAGGAAATGACAAATATTAAAATCCAAATTAGAACCAAAAGGAGATCATTCATCCTTCCAGGCACGGTCCATCATTAAATGAGATTGTGGCGGATCTGATCATGCTCAACCCCACTTTCCTGACTTTTCCCCATAACTCTTGATACCCTTCCTGATTAAAAGCCTTTCTCAGCCTTGAACACACGTAATAACACAGCCTCAAAAGCTCTCCGTGGTAAACAATTCCACAGATTTACTACTCTCCAAGAGAAGAAATTACTGCTCATCTCTGTCTCGAATGGATGACCCTTTATACTGAGATTATACCCTCTGTTCCTAGACTCTCCCATAAGGGAAAGATCTTCTCCACAACTATCCTATCAAGTGTCCGAAAAATCATTTATGTATGAGGGCTTATCCAAGAGATATTCAAGATGGCAGTGCAATAAAAGGCTTCAGATGGAGCTCATCCATTTCCTATATTTTCTCTCTCTTTTTTTCTTCTCTTTTGTGTTTTCTTCCCGTCTTCTCTCTTCTTTCGGTTCTCCATCTCTGAATCTCGATGGTTCTCACCGCGGGATCCTCGCAGACTGCTCCGGGCTCTGCTGCCGATCAGTACATGTTTGATTGTCATAGAATTAAACAAGGTGATTAATGTAAAGGGAAGGCAGACGACCCAGGCAGCGTGAAACCAGGCAAATGCAGCCCCTGGAGGTGAAGAGAAAAATGCTACACGTGTCTGACATCCCCACTGCACCTTGTTAATTACTCGCTGATGTTCATATGTAAATAGGGTGGGAATGTTCTTTACCATAATCATGACAAAGAGGCTTGTTATAACCAAAACCGCGGTTCTCTTGATGCAATACCTTGCCTTAAACCTTTGGCAGCAGATCATTACACATCTGTCAAATGTGAAGGAAACAGTGAACCAAACGGACAAATCGATGGTGACAGGTGCCACCAAACAAACCATGGTTTTCCTGCAATTTCTGTTTTTGTTTGTTTCAGATCTCTAGCATCTGCGCTTTTTTTTGTTTAGTTTTTATAAATAAATTGTCTTTGTTTTGAGGTAGTTTAGATGGTAATTCGTGGTGTGTTTTGGAGACATTTTCTTGGAGCGCCACATTCTAGAGCTAACCAGGGAGCAGGCAACATTAGGTCTGAAATTATGCAAAGTCACAGGATTGTTCATAACATTATCTTGAAGGCAACTTTAGGAAACAGTGATCATAACATGATTAAGCCTTGTATTACATTTGATGGAGAGTTGTGGGGGTCTAAAAATGGCGATTTCATTATTATGGAGCAATTTTGATTTCACAAGAACAACCTGAATTTGGAAATTAGGTTATGTGTCATGCTAGTAGAAACAGTGTCAGACATTCTGGAAAATATTTCAAAACACTCAGCAGAAGAGTCTTTTAATGAGAACAAAAGTCTGCAAGTGAGTACTGCACTCAAGTGAACTGAGGAAGTTAAAAAAAATGAAAGAGAAATTGATTTAAAAACAGGAAGAATGAAAAAGTGTAGGAAGAATGGAAGAATGAATTGTACATTCAAAAATTGGCAGATCCCAGTAAGTTGCCTCTCACCCTCCTCACACTTTCCACAGCAAGGATAGGGCGCCCCCTGGTTGTCACTTCCTGTCCTACTAGCCTCCAGACCTATGGGCTCATTAGTTGGTATTTCTGCCACCCCCAGCTGGATGACACCAGCAGATACACATTTCTCTCCCCTCCACTCCCCTGTCAGCTTTCCACAGAGACCATTCCCTCCATGACGCCTTGGTCTGCCACTACCAACACCTCCCTCTGCCTTCCAGCAACTCTCCCTGCAACTGCAGAAGGTGTAACACTCACCTGTTTACTTTCTCTGCCCTCACTATCCAAAGCTCCAGATGGACCTTTCAGGTGAAGCAGCAAATTACATGCACCTCACTCAATCTAGTCTGCTGTCTAACCTCAACCTAGTCCCACACGAAACATCAATTTTCCTGCTCCTCTGATGCTGCCTGGCCCGCTGTGTTCCTCTAGCTCCACACTGTGTCATCACATAATACAATACAATTGTCTGAGGAGTGGCACACTTCAGTCTCCAGTACAAACATCTGACTGAATTGAAAGGAAATACATAAGCATTTCGGGAAAAATAGCAAAGGTTGAATGATTAAATAGTTCAAAAATTTAAGCAGTAAAAGGACTACTCTAAATATTTACATCAACAATTCAAATTGTCCATAAACTAAAAAAAATAAACTTGCAGAAAGAAACATCAGTTAATTAGGTTGAGAATGATATTACGCTCAAAAATGCAGTTAATAATGTTGACAGACATACCAGGATTGACCAAATTTTCAAAACCATGAAAGGGGTTCCAAAAAGTTGATATAACTCAGGGTGAAAGAACACAAGAGTAAATTGGTTATAGACAGATAAGGGAAAGTAACTAAAGTAAATGTGGTCTCTTAGAGATCACAGGAGGAATTATCACAGGGGATGAGAAAAGTGTCTTCACAGTAGAAGGCGACAATAAGCAGTAATGACGTGGATTTTGCCTGGATGAGAGCAGCTTCAACAACACTCAGGAAGTTTAACACCATCCAGGACAAAGCTGTCCACTTGATTGGCACCATATCCACGAATATGTAGTCCCTCTCCGACTGATGGTCAGTATCAGCATTTGCAAGATGTACTGCAGAATATCACCAAGGATTCTGAGACAGTGACTTTCAAAACCCATGACCATTTCCATCTGGAAGGAGAAGATCAGCAGATACATGGAAAACCATCACCTACAAGTTTCCCTCCAAGCTACTCACCATCCTGACTTGGAAATACATTGCTGTTACTTTAGTGTTACTGGGTTACAGTCCTAGAACTGCATCTTCATCAATGACCTTGTGTGTCTGCCTATACCAAACGGTTCAAGATAGAGGCCTAAGGGCAATTTTGTCCCAGCTGGTGAAGCACACATCCCATCAATGAATAAGAAAATCACCATGATGTTCCTATGTTGGGAATGCTTGATGGTGACAGTGTATCTCACAGTGTCCCCTCATTCCCCCAACACCATTCTTTTGACACCCTGAACAACCCTTATCATGGTTAATACAACTTCCCAGAGCCTGGGAAGATTAAGGCCCGGATTTTTCAAAGGAACTCCTATTTCAGGTGGTAATCTAGACAAAAAGAATGTTATATTCATTACGTTTTACTGTGGCACAGTCTCAACTCAACAAGGAGAGGTGTGAGCAAGAGATTGAGGATTGATTTGGATATAAAACAGAT